CATCCCCTACCGTCTGTCCAGGTCTCAGCCATCAGCCAGACCCATCACACCAGACGGCTCCACCAAGGACAGTGTCGCCCAACCAGCTAAGCCGCAGCCGGAGCCGCAATCCGCGCACGAGAGGCAGGAACAAGAGCAAACTGAAAATCAGCAGGCCGAGGCGGTGCAGACTCCTCTTACGCCAGAGTCAAACACTTCGGGCGCAGAAAAGAGAGAGCTCGATGCAACCGCCGCGCCTGGCCCGTTGCAGAATGGCCACTCGGCACCGGCAGACACTCATGGTGAGCATTCACTACCGGCTCCTTCTTTGACGCAGCACGTACTAAACTCCCCAGATGCAGACAACCACGTCAACGGCCATGCCGACGAGAAGCCTCCCGCGCCCGTGGAGCCCAGCGCCGAGCCCAAGCCTGCCACGAACGGAGTGCACCGCAAACTGACCATACCCGCCCACCTGCCTCCACCCTTCTATCCCTCGAACAAGACGGACACGCAGACACCGCCCACAGAAGGCAGCGACAGCGCTCACACTTCCTCGCACCGCCACCAGCTCAGTGCTGGTGCTCTGGTCTTCCAGAGCGCGAATGAGTCACCGGCACCTCCTGTGGCTCCTCAAGAGCCAGAGCTGCACCAGCACGAACAGCACGCGCTGCCACGTCCTCCGCCTGGGTTCGGTCCCCAGCAGTTTGCGCCCTTCTTCCCCGGCCACGCCCAGCATCCCTCAGAGGCAGGAGCGCCCTGGCATGTGCCGCCACAAGCAGTCGCACCGCCTGAAGCTGCCTACGCAAACGGCTCCGAGTTTCGACCCTCGCAGTTTCCCAGCGGTCCTGTCCTCTATCCGGGTCCTCCCAACGGTCACTTCTCGCCGGAACAGGCAGCTTTTGTCGCAAACGGTACCCGCACCTCGCACTCGCAGTCACCAAGCAAGGCACAATTTGGCGACACGGTACCCACATCAGACCACGGGGACGAGCATCATGCCATGCCCTACCAGAATGGCACTGCCCCTCCTACCGAACGCCTCGAGGAGTCGCCGTTTGAACTTGCCAGCTATTTGTCAATCCAATTCGCCAACCCCGAATTCGCCGACTTCATCCTCCAAGTTCGGTCACCTGAGTCCATTCTGATGTCAGTACCAGTTCACGGCATCGTAGTCGTGCGGAGCCCTGTCATAGCCGAAGCAATTCGTCGCAGCCCGGCCCCCAGCCACCGCAGCAGAGACGCGCGCCGACTGGTCGATGTCCTTGCGCTCGACCCTTTCACTACCGGCGAATCCCTAGAGGAAGCTGTCAGGGTTCTGTATGGCGCCCCGCTCCTTTCTGCCCAGACCTTCCTGTTCGGCCTTGCACCTTACATGTACGAGAACGACCAAGCGTCCCCTTCCAACGACGCCCGCATGCGCATGCGACAAGTTCTGAGCTACATTGCGGCAGCAAGGACTCTCCAGATGCCTAGCATGCAGGCGCGCGGTATTGAGATCGCACGGATGCTTCTCCGATGGGATACTGTCGAGCAGGTACTGCAATATACACTGCAGGCCAGCTCTGGGCCACGATCAAGAGGTGAAGGTCCCGATGCAGAAGACCCCTTCATTTCAATGCTGCTCAATCACGCTCTCGAGTTCATCGCCTACACCTTCCCTGCCGACTTCAAATTGTACGCGATAGCGCCAGAGTTTTCAGATGCTCCACGTCTGCCAGCACTCGTTGAACCACGTAACGCCGCGCATAACCCAAGGCTAAGCAAGATTCGGTTCGGTGACGCGCCACCGGAAGATGATCACCGTCCTAGCCACGCGACCGTCGTGCTGTCGACTATTCTGCTATCTCTGCCACTTCCACTCGTGGAACGGCTCTTCAATCATCGGGCAACAGCGAATCAACTCGGATGGAGTGGTGCCACTAAGATCTTGCGCGAAGTAGTCAATGAGCGTGAGAATCGGCGCCAAAAGGCATCGGCGGGCCAGTTGAAGCCGAGCCAAGATGGTACCATTCCAGCCGGCCTCTTGAACAACGTGTATCTTGAAGAACGCGTGGAGCAAGTCGAGCCATCATCTCTTCACCCTTCCGGCCATCGCTTGGCGACGAAACGGGTCGCCAGCGACACATGAGGAGCAGTCCGAACAAGTGGAGCCTCGACGACGTTAGTTCTTTCCCATGTCAGCATTCGACATTCGGCACGACTTTTCGGGCCGGCGACATACAAACCAGGTCGGTTCTTTCCTTAGGGTGTAAGCATAGTGAGCGTTCATGGGCGTTCACGCAGGCGTTGTGAGCGAGTCCTTCCACCAAAACCTTTCCTACGGTCACCAAAAGTACGTTACGATGTGACGAAGCATATTCCCCAAGATCATGACAGCATGCCAGCTTGACTTTGATTTGTACATCATTACGGCATAAATGTTTTCTTTTCTCTACGATGGTGGCGGCGTCTTAGGCAAATGTGTCGGAATCAGACGCAGCGCGGTATACAAAGGTGGAGGATGAAATCTCACGGGTTAGATAGGCCGCGCTGAAGGGCGGAAAAATAGCATCAGGGTATCAGCAGACTACATATGCGAAGCGCAGTGTTCTTGGAAGGTACGACGATGGGATACAGCCCTGTCTCGGCCGGAATTGCACGGCTGTAATGCGGAGATAACAATCAGGAAAGTTTCATGACGTGCCTGTTGCCGCGCACGTGGCGCGCCGTTGTCTGCAAGGCTGTACTCCCTAAGGTTTTGACTAAAGCATGAAACCGGATCGTTCCTCATAACGAAATCCCCCGATTGGATTACGGAGTGTTGGACAAACCTTAGCAAGTACGTTTCGCCATGTCTTCCTTAGCCTTAACTTCTAAGGCTAGATGCCTAATGTTACGCTGCGGAAGACGTTATAGTGCATGCTTATAGGCTTATTAATTACTAGTCTACTTAATCTTATCTTTTTTACTTACTTTAAACTAAAACTAAGATATATTTTACTTATCTTTATACTTTTCTTTAAAAATTATTTATAAGCATCTTAATAGCCTCTTTATTATTAGTAGTAGTATTATTAGTAAAAAATTTATTATAAAGTTATTTAAAAACTTTTAGCTTTATAAGTATAAAGTGCTTAATAATATTATTAGTATTATTAAAAATATAAATAGCTATAACTTTATATATAGTAATTACTTATAGCTTAGTAGTATACTTTTAGCTAATAGTAAACTTATACTTAGTAATATAGTTAAAGAACTTTTTTTTAAAGAAGTTAAAAATAATAAATAGTTTATATTTATTAAAGCTAAGTTTTAATAGTATTAAGTAGGCGTAAAGCTTTAATTATACTACTATTTTAAAGTTTTATATATAAGTAAGTAAAAAAGAAATAATATATTTATAAAGTTTTATTTTATTTTTTTAGGTACTAGTAGTATATAACTATAGTATACTTTAGTTATTAAGTTAAGATTTTTCTAAATTTCTATAGTTAAGAAATACTAAAGCTAAGGCTTACTTAGACACGTGATCTAAGGCTGGAGCGAGCCGTCGGTTGCTTGAGAATATGCCCGAAGGAGGAGGAAGTGTAGCGCAGCCCAGGTCTGTGTTGCACCCTTTCTAGCCGATGCCCCCAGTCAACTCCGAAGCTTGATATATGATCTCCTGGGGCTGCTTGTCTCTCATTCACGTCTCATTTAGACGTCTTTCTAAGTCCGCGTTCTGCCAACTCTTTGATTATTCTATCCGTCATCTCCTGCTTGTGTGCCTCTCAGCAAGCGTTGCTACTGGTAGTTTCCGTTTCGAAGGACCCCATTTCTCGAACAAGAACCTCGTTGGCCACTCACTGCCGGGCCACTGCTCCGTCTTGACACCCAGCGACAACAATTCCACTCGCGACAGCTACACTGGTAGCGGGAACGGGTTCAGTATGCCACCCACGAACGTACCGTCGCTGGATCCCGGTAGACAGACTGGACCGACTTCCTATGAGTTGACGAACTTTGGCGGACCTAGTCAACAGCCATCCCTTGCGACTTTGAATTCGCAGTACAGTGCGGAGTCATCGAAGGATCCAAGACACCAGCCATCCTATGCGACTTTGAATTCACTGCGCAGTACACATAAGGAACGCGTGATAGAGGACAAGGACGATGAAGATACAGACGAGAGCAGGCTGGAACCTGATCGATCGAGTAAACCTAATGTGAACGACGCGTCCGAAGTACCGAATGGTGGGCTTTGGGCATGGCTGCAGGTCTTGGGAGCATTTTTTCTGTTGTTCAACTCTTGGGGCGTAAGTGACAGCCACATACAGAGTTCATGTAAGACCTGAACTGACCCTACACCACAGATTATCAATACATTCGGAACATTCCAAACATATTACGAAGCGAATTTGCTCGCCAGCTCGAGTGCTTCAGCCATATCCTGGATCGGGTCTATACAGGCGTTCCTGCTCCTCTTGGTCGGCGCCCTCACTGGTCCCATTTATGACGCAGGCTACTTCCGCGCACTGCTCATCGTGGGAAGCTTCATGCTGGTTTTGGGCCAGATGATGCTCAGTCTATGCCATACGTACTGGCAAGTCCTTCTTGCACAAGCTTTCTGCATCGGTATTGGGACTGGATGTCTGTTTATCCCGAGTGTGGCCATCCTTTCAACCTACTTTTCTACCCGGATCGGAACCGTGATTGGAATTGCCGCAGCTGGCTCATCGCTTGGCGGCGTCATCTATCCTATCGTATTCCACAAACTCATTTCTCAGATCGGATTCGCTTGGACGACGAGGGTGCTCGGCTTCATTGTCCTCGCCACTATGATTGTACCGAATGTTTGCATGCGCGTCCGCGTTCTGCCGGCAGAATCGCGTTCTCTTCTTGACCTGCGCGCTTTCCTGATGCCGTCATACAGTCTCATGGTCGCGGGATTCTTCCTTGGGTTCATGGGCTTATATATGCCGTTCTTCTATGCGCAAACCTACGCTATCCAAGAACACATTACGAGTGAGAGTATGGCATTCTACCTCCTCGCCATCATGAATAGTACGAGTGTCTTTGGACGTATAGTACCGAACTTGGTAAGTTTTTCCGCCACCCTCCAGAAATTACTTTTGTTCGGCGTGGAGTCACTAACCTCTCTCCGCAACAGTTCTCCGACAAACTTGGTCCTTTCAACGTCGTAATCCCTTGCTGCATAATCTCTGGCGTTCTCTGCATATGCTTCATGGGTGCCACCTCCTCCGCCGGCATCATCGTACTCATGGCATTCTACGGTTTCTTCTCCGGATCTTTCGTCTCGCTTCCACCCGCCATCGTGGTTCAGCTGAGTAGTGACGCGCGAGACAAGGTCGGCACAAGGATGGGTCAGGCCTTCGCTGTCGTGGGTGTGGGGCTGCTGATTGGAACGCCGATCGGAGGTGCGATTCAAGAACAAAGTGGTTTTGCTAGCTTGTGGGTGTTCGGAGGGTGTTTGTTATTCGGATGTGTGCTGTTGCTTATTGCTGCTCGGGTGGCATTCAAGGGGCGGAAGATCATGGTCAAAGCATGAAGTAGGAAACGTGAGCACGAAAGAGAACGAACCGTTACGCATGGAAGTCGATGACAGTCTATATCTTACTCAACATCAAGGGTATTTCCCAACTCCAGATAACCCAAACAACAGACATTGGACGATGACGCGCATCACTTCGATTCACACCACGCCTTCAGGTCATTGTTATAGCCCTCCCATCCTTTCTTCGTCTTTTCCGGGAAGCCGAACTTTCGCGCCACCGCGTTGTCACCCATGAGAAAGGACAGCGCGCCGCTGAAGGCCTCTTCTTGAGCGAACTTCGTGCCGCCTGGGATGGTACTACTGGGCTCGAAATTGAAAGAATGCGTGCCTGTGAAGAGAAGTGGTATAGATCCTGTCCACGCAAAAGAGGTAGGTGTGTTATGCTACAAACTCTATTAGACAATGTCGCGTCATAGTCTAGTACAGTTATGACGTACTTCTATTGGAGCATCCATCTTTTGTCCCGATGAGAAGACGACGCGTATCTTGTTCCCGGGTTCGACGGGGCCGAGTGGGGTCAGAGAAGCGAAGAAGCCTCTGTGGTATTTGGGGAGGGATGCGAAGTCGAGAAACTTGCGATCTTGTAAGCATCGCGACAAACAAGCTTTGTATTAGGCCGAGAGAGGCGGTGCTCGTACTTTTGCGCGGACATCTTCCGGTGAGGATGCGATTTCGATGCTTGCTGTGACGGTCATAGCTGCGAGTTGGCAGATGAGATGCGATGATCACTTGGTAAGTTCAAGGGATAGGATTTGTTCCGACGAAGACAAACTTGCACCTTATGTGCCGATGGAAGATGCAGTGACGATATTTATTGCAGATAGCGTGACGCCTTCGTATGAATCCATATCTACAGCTGCTTAGCGGACGAAAGATACCACGATATGCCTATGCCTTTTGCGGCTCAATGCGCGCATACATATCAGTGTGGCTTTACACTGCAAGGGGACCTGGGAGACTCACTGCGCGTTAGCGTTGGAAGGTTGACGGAAGAACGCAAGAAGGGGCGGTGCGGCACGTCTTAGGGGTCGAGGCATCTCGCCCAATGAGCCGCAAGCGGTTTAGCCTAACCCCAGATTAGGCCGATGTCCCCCCATGTCAGCCCATGACCTCCCCACCTGCCTCTTCAGCCACCTCGTCCAATGCACCGCATCCGTCTCATCCATATGCATCTCGCAAAAACCAAGTCTAGATCATGGTCAATGTAGCCGGCCGTTCGAAAGGATGCTCAACCTGCCGCAGGCGCCGTATCAAGTGCGGTAAGCGCCATCGTCGTGCACATTAGACCTCAGGCTGACCCTACTAAAGATGAGACTCGCCCAACATGTCAGAGATGCGAAAAGGCTGGCTTCAAATGCGATGGTCCACAGTCGATCGTCTTTGTGCAAGGCAAAATCGTCAAGTCTAGGAGGTCACAGAAGTTGAAGAGCAAGGCGGCGGACCCGCCTGTAACGACTGTCTGGAAGAGGCAAGAAGTAGAAGAGTCTACCTCGGAATCTCCTGAACACCGCTTCGACCTCCCTGAAATTAGGCCTAAATTCAACGACAAAGAAGTTTGCATATGTTATGCACGCCGCCATCTTCTACCCAACGGTCCCATAGACCTAGGGTTACAGGAGCTTCAGCCCTCAGACATTGTCACGGATAACTACGCCGCAAGAGGAGCAAGCAGCCCATTATTTGTTCAAGCCGCACTCAGCTTTGCAACCCTCTTCTTCGGCGCGCAGCATCACCAGAGCGGGATCCTCGCCGAAGGTTATGCCATACATGGTGTAGCTCTCAAGCGGCTGAATCAGGCTTTGAGCCAGCCAGAACGCCGTATGCATGACGACGTAATCGTCTCCGTCATTCTATTGGCTATGCTTGAACTTTTCATGCCCACTGGACCAAGAAATTGGCTCAAGCACATGCTTGGAATGGAGCAGCTCCTAGCATTACGTGACCCATCATCCCTGGTTCACGCGTCATTTCGGACACTTGAGCTGTACAAAGGTGTGCGGCATATGATACTGATAGCATCATTGAGGAACAGAACGCCATCAATCTTTGCGCGACCACAGTGGAAAGCTGTACTGAGAACAGCGCTCTCGCTGGAAACTCCAGATGAACAAGACTTGCATGACGTGCTCGCAGATTGTTCGGTGCTAATAGCTGCGAGTGACGAGCTCTTCAAGCTTCAGCATGCGTCTGGCTTAAGCTATATTCAACGGCGACAGGAAATGCAATGCAAGGCAGATGGGACCTTAGTCTTTCTTCGAGCGTGGAAACGACGATGGGATAGCAATGAGGAGAACGTCCATATCGAAGAAGAGTGTCTTGATCCGACCAGTACCCAGATTTCGCCACGCATTATATACCGGTTCATGAGCGACTCTGTTGCACGGATGCTGATGTTGTACAACACCGCATTCATCTACACCCTCCGTGTCATGGCGACTTTAGGAAGCAAAACCAACGGCACACAAGACATTCCGAGCGATCACATACAGGGCGGCACAGGCGCGGATGTTGTGACCGAGAGTTCTTACTATCCTGCCATCCATGCAGCAGGGCTCAATATTGCCTGCTGCATCACTGACTATCTGCAACACAAACGTGCGCGAGGAGAAACAGACTTTGTCTCACCCATGGTACAGTGGGCTGTGATCACCGCCGGGCAGGCATTAGGCGGCGAGGAGTCTCCGGATGGCAAATGGATGGTCAGCCTGCTGAAAGGAGACGCTATGTATACGATTGCGAAGAGAGCTTGGGAAGTTTGAAGGTACTCATAGGTAACTGGCAACGTGTAAGTCGAGAAACCGAGAGTTGCGCCGCTTTGTCGCAGCTGGCCCAGCGTTCACTAATATGATGCAGTTCCTGTGCAGTCGAAGTACGAAGTCACTCTCAAAAGGTCTGACCATGGATGAGTTATCGATTCTTCGTCGTCAACACGTCTGAAGCCTTTCTTGGCAGTGCCGTGCCTAGACACTTACAATGCTCCTACGCTGGCAGCCCATATCTCTACCTCCCAACAATCTTCTTCTCGAGATACCGCGCAGGTATGTACACCAGGGCAGTCACAACGAATGTGAACTCATTCGCAACGTCACCCCCATCAGCTCCGATGAGCCCACCTAGCGGGCCGACATACCACGTTTCGACCATACCAAGGATCCACGCGACGATTCCGATGGCGAAGGCGGTGCCAGCAGCAATACCCAGCGGCAGACGACTGGGATCGTTCCATGCATCCAAGTCGTAATTGTCGAAGTTCATACGACGGAAGATGACGTGCTCGCTGCACAGAATGACAAAGTACTGCGTTGTCCAGTAGCCGAGTAGACTAAGAAAGTTCTGCAGGTAGACACTCAGTTGCTCACGGCCGCCAATAGCGAGACCAAGGATGGCGGCGAAACAGACCAAGATCCAGATGAAGCGGGGAACGCGCGCAAATGGACGGGAAAATTGCTGGCAAGAGATTGCGGCGCTGTAAATTGAAATGACGTTTACGTTGATGCCGGAAAGAACCAGGAGCGTAAGGATCAGCTTTGCGAAACCGCGTGGGTAGAGCATGGTTTGGATGAGGAAGCCGAGACCGTCGTTGTCGTACACTTCTTGCCAGTCTGGTCGGTTGTTCATGCCGAATGACACGACGCAGCCGGCCAGCATGCCGATCGAAGTAGGAATCGCGATACCGAAGGTGGTCATAAGGAAGACCTTCCAGCGGGAGACGTTGACCGGGTAATGGACGTAGTAGTCGGATGCCATAGTCTGCCACGATGCAGAACTACCGTAGACGATAGCAATCAAGCTCAAAACCTGTCCACTGAGGTCCGCTCCCTTCAGTTTAGGCGTGTTGCTGTTGTCGGTATACTTGCCCGTCTCGGCAAAGAATATGATGAAGATGATGAAGAAGACGAACCACGCGTAGCGCTCGTAGACCAGAATAGCTCGCAGACCGACGAAGGAGATAAGCGTAGCGACCACGGCCAGAATAACGATACCAACGATCAGCGAGATATGGCCATCCGCTACGGCAGTCAGTGCCAGACCACCCGTGATGCAAGCCACAGACGCCCAGCCAATCTGCACAATAGTGTTAAGAGCAGCAATAACCTTGTTAGGCCACCACCCAAACGCATATCTCGACATGGAAATCTGCCTCAGCCCAGTCGGCGCACCAAAGGTGGCAGCGAAACCAGTCGCTGCGCCACCAAGGATAGACGCGAAGATGGTGATGACGATACTCTGGCGAAGTGCTGCAAAACACGAAACAATCAGTCAAGCTGTTGCAAGTACGCGGGAAACGGTACGTTCTTACTCAAGCCAAACTCATGTCCAAGGAAGCCCGTCGCGAAACAGGACGTGTTCATTGTGCCCGAGGCCCAGAGGAAGAACATGTTGAGTTGGTGGTGCCATGGCACGTCGCCCTTGTCTTCTGGCAGTTTGCGACTGATGGCTTCGGATTCAATGCCTGCAGAGGTAGAGGTACGAAGTAAGTATATGTCTCACATGCACTTCGTACAGTCAGAACTTACCTAGTTTCGCATCTAATCGCTCTTCGAGCCGGCGCAGTTTGGCGAGGATTCCGGTTTCGCGCGGAACGGCTGTCGCAGCGCCGACTACTCTGCCGCTGTCTGTCGAGAGACTGGCTTCGTCCTGGGCTTTTTCCGCTGACAACATCATGGGCAGCGTCGATCGTGACAAAGACTCAGAAAGAAAGGTGACTAGAAAGGGTTGGACAAGACCAACCCAGGGTCAAACAGGGCGAAGCATGGTCGTTCTATAGTAAACTACCCCACCGCGCACACTCGGCTCCCAGCCGCGTCATGAAAAGCCGTTTTGACGCCGATGGCAGGGTGCGAAGAAAAACGATTGCCGTATGCCGCCTAGCCTGTGTGCTTGCGAAGAACTAGTAGCTCCACTCTTATCTTTGACAAGCACTTCTGGGCAAAGCTTAGCCTGTCGGCAATCGTGGATTACTCCCTCGGTAAGGAGCGTTGCGTGTGAGCCCTGCATATGGCTTGATTCTTATCAGGAGTTGGTACGCTGATTAGGTGCGACTTCGGTTCGTGGCTGACTAGCGGGATGATTTCAGGCTTTCGAGCCGTTCACAGAGCGGCTGGATGATTTGCATTCTCGGAGCAGGCCGATGCGTACCTAGGTAAGCACACTATCCTACAGGCCACGTGCGAAGCAGCATTCCATCACGCGACCATTTCGCAGTCCGTGAAACATTATTGCCATTTGCATGAAGCAAGGCAGAGGGCATTCATTTGGCCCTCCAGCAGAAGGAAGCTATCAACTATGCCAGCTCTCCTAGTGTACATACTATACAATGTATTGACCCGTTCAGATCATGGTTGGGCATAAGTCATGCATCGGATGCAAATGTATTCATGGTTCCAGGAACTGTCCGCTACACCGCTTTTGCGCGTGCTGATTGCAAGGTACCGCTCTTTCTGAGCAAGAAACCGGCGGCCTTGCTGGTTAAGGGGGTGACAGTTCCACGCTCGGGTTGTGCCTTCTTTGCTCCCCTCGATTGCTTCTGCTTCATCTGTTCAAGCCTAGCCGGTATACCTGAACCCAGACCACGCTCCCATAGAGCATAGCTGATGACCTTGTCTTGACCAGTCTTGCTGCGCTTCTCAACCTTGGTAGGCTTGACGCGACGCAATTCGACGTTGCCCAGATTAATCAAATCGCCCAGGTCGGCCCTCCTCTTGGCGTCGGCATCAGATGTGGCCTGCTGCTTCGCTCGCTGACGTGCCTTCTGCCCTTCTACATGCATAGCGCTGAAGAGACTGGTAGGCTGGGGTTTGGCGGCCTCTAATAGATGATTGTATAGATCGCCTAGGGTGTTCGCGGAAGAGAGGTGTGGATCGGAGATGCGGCAGCCGGTAAGTTGGTAAAGGCGTTTGTAAAGCTACATAAGTCAGCAAAGGTAAAATAAAAAGGGTCGATACACGTACAGCGAACTTGACGTTGATGTCAGTGACGGGAACGTGCCGCCATTTCGTCTCTTCAGGCTTGATAGCAGACGAATCTCTGCTGCTCTGCTGAACTGAGGTTTTTAGAGCCGCAAAGTCAGCCGCCAAACGCTTCGCTCTCTCTTCGAGGATAGCATGTCGCGACTCGCTCGCTGCAGCTGGAGCGATTTGGTTAACGGGCTCCGGGTCGGCTGCATGGTCAACAAGCTCGGTTTGGGGTACATCTTGAGCAACTTGAGGTGGCGTAGTTTCTTGAACGACCACTTCCTCAACAATTGCCTCCTTGACGGGCGCTTCAACTGGCTTGGCGCGAGGGACGGGGCGGTTCGACATGAAGTCAAACGGCTTGTTCTCGCCATCCATCTTGACCACTGCTGCTTTCTTGTGTGCTGGTGTGTCGGGGTCCATGGTCTGTACTTGCTCCTGTGCAAGGCCGGCATCCTCAAGTTCCTCAACGACCTCTTCAACGAGCAGCTCGTCCGATACCTCTGGCTCAGCCTCCCAAGCGGGTGCCGTTTGCATCGTCTCCAAGAGATCATCCAAGCTCTTGTGCTGGGGGAAGGCAAGAGCAAGCTCACCGCTTTCTGTCTTGACTAACTTGATGTCCTTGACCCAGCGTGGCCGATCGTAAACACCTCGGTTGGCAAACTTGGATAGGTCCATATCTAAACCAGCCTGCTTCAGGGCATAAATCTCGGCGACAGCTTGTGTGAAACTGGCACGCAAATCGGTAATCCGGGTAGCTTTGGCGTGGAGGCCAAAGTTGTAGTCGGTATATGGGCGCTTGGTCTTCTCGTGTACAGTTTGCGCCATAAGCAGGTTCTCGTCCTTCAAAGTGTACGGAGTGCCCGTGAGCTCTTCGATCTCATTGGCCATGTCCAGTGTCAGTGGCGTGTACGTCCGTAGCGTGAGTTTCTCGAATTCCTTAGCCAGGTCCTTTTCGACCTTTTCCTGCAGCCATTCCTCGCCACCGACCCGATGTAGGCCGCGTAGATACTTCGCAGGCTTGTATTGGGGGAATCTTGAGGCTTCCTCGTCAAGGACCTCTTCGTATTCGCCCTGGTCTTCAGGCGCTATGCGGACCGGTGATGTGGGATCATAAGGGTCGACGTGTGCACCAATAGGCTCCGAGTCGCCAAGAAGACGCTTCTGCCATCTTCGCACGAACTGCTGGTGCTTTCTCTTGTCCTGTTTGCCCGGTAGCAGGAAGGCTTGGGGTGCGGTTGTGGAGAAGGCGGCGGATGGGGTGCGGAGATGGGTGCAGGGCGACGGGGCGGGGCGGCAGGGCAATGGCGAGACTCGTTGCCGTATGCAAGCGGAGAGGGGATGTGAGGGATCAATTGCCCGCGAGGGGCGCGGTATTCGGCGCATTGGGTTCGAGATGCGGGTGATGCACATCTGCTGGAAATTCCTTCGACATGTCGACGAGCACGCCAAGCCGCCGGACATGAGCCAATCAGCGCCCTAGCAGCCCCGAGCACTGGAGAAGCCCATGGTTTTGGAGAACATGCGTCGTCTGATCTCTGCCTGCACTTTGATTTTTTATCTAGACATGTTGGCATCAAGATACTGTCATGTTCAAGTGTCTATTATGTATATCACGAGAACTTCTTTACTAGCCACGTAGAGCCTCTCTCGTCATAGTCGGCTTTGGACACGAGCAACTCCTTCAACAAGTCGGGTTGGCTAGCGACGTTTGCTCCTCCTAGCCATGTGTGCTTGATCGGGTCATCTGCCCGCGCCACATTCAGCGTGTACTCGGCTGGTACCAGAGCCCTCAGCTCTGTCTGCATTCGTTCCATGAAGCCGGCAATCAACGAGTTCCCGCCTACCACTACAACATTCGCCAACAGGCCGATTCTTAGAGCTTCTGGCAGTGTGCTCAGCGACTCCATGACGGCGCCAGGTATTCCAGCTTCCTGGATGCCAATATCGGAAGGGTTGAAGAGGAGCTCGGGCACGGCGAAGCGCTCATTGCCTAGAGGCAGCAGATCTTCTCTCGGTCCTTGCAGCGGCTGTAGCCCTCTGCGCATGCGTGATTTTGCAGGGTCGTGGGGTCGCGCATGCCCGTGTATAGCATTCTCGTAGTCCGGCAGCACATAGTCGACCACTATGCTCGAATCCAGCTCTCGTTTATCTCCCAGCCGTCCTTTCCAAGTGCGCTCCAGATCTTTGGCGAATTGCTGCGATGATGGCACGACGTACGAGACTGCTTCTTTGATCTCGTTGAGCAGGTATGTCTCCTCCATCATGTTGTAGTGCCGCAGCGAGGAGAGCTCTTTCAGGTAGTTTGTGAGCAGCTTCCCACCGACTGTGAGCCGCCGCACAGCCGATTGTATGAGCTTGCCATTGTAGAGAGGGAGGACGGTCGTGTCTGAGTACGATGTGTCGATGATGAGGAGGCATTCTTGCGGTAGCGATGCCAACGAGGACGCGATGGGAGGGTTGTAGGCATTGAGTGTCGCGCCAACGCATCGGTAGTAGGCCGCGAACTCGAACTGCTCGAAGATGATCTCGTCGCAGTTCTTCTGCAGCTCTTTCGGGCAGTTTGGCTTCTCTGTCAAGACCAGATTTGTGTCTTTCGGGTCACACTGCGTACTGTCAGTTCTCACACCCTTCACGAGCTCGCGACTGTGCGTACCCACCCTCAGCCCCTCCCCCACGGCGTCGCCCATGAACTCATGCTCCCATATCGCCTTCTCCGCCTCCCAGTTGACAATGAAGCCCTTTTCCACTGGACGGCGAAACGCCAGTTCTCCAAAGTCTTTACACGAATCGAGCTCGGCGCCGACGTAGGTGCACTTGTCGCGTGTGCTGCGCGCGATGCAGTTGGGAATGACACTGCAGTCGTCGTAGGTAGGCTCCGAGGCTGGCGAGACTAGACCGGCTTTGATCGAATATGCGCCATTGTCCAGGACGAGCGTCTTGTTGGGCGCTGCAGCCGCCGACTTCTTAGACCCTTTGGGTGCCATCGTTGGTGTTTGTTGGTTTGCGCTGACGGAGCGATTCGCGACGCCCGAATTCCGACGCCTGTTCACGTGCGGCCCACCTGACCCTTGACCATTGACATGCCGCCATCAACTTCTTTTCCCAACCCCGATGATAGGTACACTGTGCCCGGGACGGCAAGACCTGACAAGCCCGTCATGACAGATGCAGAATGGCTGGTCCAGCCACCAGCACATGACTACCGTTGTGGGAGTGATCCGACCAATATAAGCAGGTTGGAAGTGCGGAGTATGCATGCCCCGCGATGCACCCCTATCACCGTCCTGACATCCTTTATGCTTCTCCCACTGTGGCATTTCAGAGGCACCAGTGCTATCGCTCGCTTTCTTTAGGCCCTGAGGCTGGAATCCAGCTAGTCTATGACGTCAACCTCTCTTTGGCAACGAGGCACACGAGCCCACGAACACCATTCAAACAATCTTCGAATCTAGAGCCCTGAAATCCATATTACTTTACAATGGACGACTGGCAGGACGCCGCCTTCTCGACGCGGCACATGCACAACCGCACTGGCCGCAGTGGAAAATCCAAACACACGAGCGCATTCGACGTTCACAAGACATTCGCAAGCTATTCTGTCAAATGTCCGGCATGGCAAAAGGCCCTGGGCGCAACTGGGGATACGCAGCCAGAACAGGATGCATCGCTGGAGCTGTATCGCTTGACCGAAGCCGGCGAGGGTGTCGTGGGCCAATTGTCTTTGCCGGGCTTGTTACAAGCCTCAGTCATCTTAGCTGGCAGTCGTGACAGTCTTCGGCGAACGATCGCAGAGATAGAACCAGATGAATCAAACGAAGAGGAAGATGAGGAAGAGGACGAAGAAGAGAGCGAAAACACGGAGCCGGAGTCTCCCGAGAGGACTCGCTTCGAAACATTCGAAAAGAACAGCTTCCGTTCACCAAAGTTCTGGTTGCGATGGAGCGGCAGCCCTACAGACTCCAGCCACAATGCCTCCAAGGCACCCGAACATAACGAGACAGATTTGGGGTACATTGTCTTCTCTGGCAACGATTGTCGCAAGTTCAAGGGCACCATCAATTGCACAAGTCTGAAGTGGAAGAATGTAGCAATCACTGGTCACAAGCTCGTGGCACGATCATCATCCGACGCACAAGTCACTTGGGGAAAAGCTGGAGTGTTGGTTTAGAAGGCATATTCTGAACCATAGCTAGCGACTGCGTTATCCACCAAATATCAGCAAACTTATCGCGAAGGTGGTCGCGAAACCGAGTGAGCGAGAAGCGCATCGTAGCCGTACTACCTCCGTTTGCAGCACGCAACATCAGCAACCGCTAATCGTTCCTATGTCGGATCAGTACAGTATTCCCGCAGAGAATTGACCACGGGTTGAGCGCACCAGGCCAATCCATATACGCCAACGATACCCATCGGCCATTACCAACACCTCCAGAGACCTTGGCCCAGCGCCTTCACTCATGTCAGCATAAAAGTTCTTCCCATGTCACGTCATGACTTACTTGTCTCCATTCACCTCAGTAGTACCAGACGTGGTGTAGCAGCTTAATTTGATTTTGGTACCCTTGGGATATTGACCCGGAGCCGAGCAGGTCGTCTTCGGGCACGTTCGATAGCGCAGCCCGTCGACGGCGACAGTTGCGTCAATGACGGCGCGCTTGTCCATCTCGGCCGCAGGAGCGGCCAAAGCGACCGATGAGAGAAGAGCGATAACAACGGCTGTGAGCTTCATGATGTGCTGATTTCGATCGTTGGCAGGAGAATATGCGAACAAGATTGGATTGATCGAAGGAAGGACATAGACGACTGCGAACGGCTCTTTATAGCCCAAATTGCGATCTCCCCCCCTCTTTCATATTTGCAGGTGCTCGCATTCGTCGTGTCATCCCAGTCGCACACTGCAAGAACTATTATGGGGTCCGCATCTCTTCCCTCCCTTTCTCTATTTCTGTAGTCCGCAATAGATGCAGATTCGACACATTCGTCCAATAGATATGTCCCTTGCCGGTTTCATCCTCGCGTTGCTCGCATAGCCTTCCATACTCAGGCGGTACGCGTTGCCTCTTGTTGCACGAGGGTTCAGCTTTAATTTGGTTCCCCGTATTTATCCATTTGGCCCCGAACACAACTTCTACGTGCCAGGACGCACTCCAACTCATCCAGACGATGTATTTATAGTCTTCTTTCTACATCGTTATCCTCTTACATAGTAAGTCCTCACGAGCCCTAAGTGTAGACATCACTGATGACATGACCCCAGCCAGCCATATGACTTCCTTAAATTCCTCCAGCGATCCGTCCTCATCTCAGTCCATCATGCAAACCAAAGACATGCGACACGTTGTGGGAATATGAGACTTCATTCACCCAGTAGCCTAGCCCAAAATCGCACTACTCAACCTTACCAAGCCATCCCTAGCTAGCTAACTTGACGCCCTTTTCTAGACCACTTGATTAAGGCGCACTGGGATGTGACATCCAAACAGACTTTCCAATAACAGAATGACACCGGAGATGACTTGTAGGCCGTGGGGACAACGTTGCGTCATGGTAAACTCAAAGCTACTAGTGTTGGACATAGCTAACTCAGGTCCCTTTTGCCTGTCCGCGCAAAGCCATTCAGTAGGTCCTTTGGAGCAGAAGATTGGTCATGCGATCTCTTCAATGCGGTATCGACAGGTTTGATAATTGTCTATCAATCTGAAAGGGCGTCAAGACCCACACTTCCGTTTGTTTGTTGTGCTGCCTAGTCACGTGCATGACTCAGCCTGGACCACCTGCAGCAACTGACAACTCGAATGCGCGCTATAACCTCTGTTTCTTTCCTCTTAACGTCTCTTGTCATTCTCTTGACGGAACCGAACCTCGCGACCGCAACCTTGCAGCACCTCGTCGTCATGGCGCAGTACCAAGCTAACACCGTTCAGTCACGCTCACTGCGACGTCGACTCCTCAAGGACATCGCGGAGATCGAACAAGATCCATATCCCAACGTCCGAATTCACTTCCAGGACAATGATATCACAAGAGCGTGTCTTGTTCTTACTCCGGAAGGACAGAAGCCGCTCCACCTCAAGATCCGCTTCACCGGCCAATATCCGCTGGTGGCGCCCGACGTCACGATCCAAAGCGCAATCAACCACCCAAATGTCTTCAGCGACTATGTTTGCGCCACCATGCTGAACACCGATGAAGGCTGGACGCCAGCGTACACCCTCAAGGGTATCGCTATCCAGCTGCTGAGCTTCTTCTCCAGTGATTCGCTAGAGCAAGACCATGGTAATGGCACTGTCGATCTGGCTTGGTATCGGCAGCATGAGGCTCAAACATTGGGAGAAGATCACTTCAAATGCTCTCTGTGTGGATTTGGAGAAGACTCGTCACCAGTACCCGCTGGGGAGATGGAGGTCGACTCACCCGCACCAGTCGTTGTCGCCTCAGCCCCGAGCCAGCGTCCGGGAGGCCCCTCGGGGTTGTTTAGACTACCAGATGAGATTCTTCTCGAGATCCTCAGCAACTCCAAGACTGTTGACATTTTGGCTTTCGCCGACGCCATTCCTTTCATCAAGAATACGATGAACTCGTACGACTTCATCCGCATTCGCGAGCTGCAATGCTTTTGTCTCAAAGAATCATTCCTCGACGCCAAGCTTGGTATTGGTATCGCCGTGACAGGCGGTAACCGGCCGGTCTTCCGAACAGAGTTTGATCTGTTGAGTCACGAGGCGTTCTACAAGCACCACATCCGACGCAGCGTTCAGGGTGTTAAGTTCGATATCTGGCTACCTCTACCCCTGAGCCGACGCCACTGGAATCAAGTTAGAGATCATGTGCTGGAGAGCACGCTGGATATCCATAGGACTGCGAACATCACGAACCCTGGAGCTTGCTATGTGGATATCCTGTATCATACTATGAACACCGTTGTCGTTCAGTTCTCATCAGATGCGGAGAGCTACAGCGGCCCTGACGCACGCAGCACCTTGAGTCACGCGTCAGAGAAGGCCGTCGACGCGTATTTCGGTCTCTTCCACCTACTGCTATGCCTGGCGATCGAGAACTCTCACATCACTGACAGTGCCAACAACACGATCAGACGCTTCATGGCCGGTCCGCGCAACAAGGCAAACTTCCCCGATCTCGGTCACGTTCTCATAGCAGCTCTCATCTGCGACGACGGACTTACCGAAGACCTGACGTATGAGATCATCGAAGAAGCCATCATTCGCAACGTCGTCTGGATGCTTGATGAGAAGGGCGCTGGTATGGCCGAGCTCGCATACCTGGAACCCTCCAAGATCTCCGAATACCGTACCAGCAAGACATACGCTGCCTCTCCCACCTCATACCGCCTCATGATGTTCCTGGAGATGTTCAGCGCAGCAGCCCGTCCGCCCGGTAAGACCCTGGTTGAGCTTCGCGACTCGTTTGACGCCCATGGGGCTCCTCCGCCGGGTACCTCAACGCGCATGGCCGAGGACATTCGCGAGATCCAGCAGTTCGACGCCTTTCCGCAGTTCTTGGCCAAGATGGGTCTCAAGGATTTGCCTTCTCAGCCTCAGTTCACTTCGTTTCTTCGACGCACCATAACCGACAGTGTCACCGCTGGCTACTCAATCATGCCCCTGAGCCAGAGCCGACTTTACCTCTTGCGACAAGAGGAGGAACGCTACGTGGAGAAGTCGGAAGATTTGCATGTCTCGCGGGATGATCACTGGTGGTACGAGAACAACAGTTTCAGAAACCCGTCTTTCTTCCCAAATCGCGGCGGAAGAGGTGGTGGTAGATGGGATCGGGGCACGCGTGGTGGCAGGGGCCGTCGGTACTAGGTAGATGCTTTTGTGGACTCTCTTGGCTTCCAAGATTGTAAAGTGCGAGAATCTTTGCGCAAGGGCTCGGCAGCTTGACGCTCGATGTAGATAGTACCTTGCAGTACGATAGCTCATTTCAGCTCTTACTGTCCGTAGAATCAGCATTTCATCAACATCTCCCTGCTTCCTCGTGACGTCGCCTCTTACGAACTAGTTCAGAAGACGGGTAAACGGCCTGACTAGCATTATGTAGCATCTAGACTTCAGCCAAGTAGTCGAATGTGGGGAAAGGCGCAACAACGTCATGTCGCATGCTGTACCACAAGGCAGGTATTGGAGAGCACCGCACCTTAAGTTCTGGTCACCTCTTCCTCCTCTCCGACATCCCTACAGAGTCAGCCTTCATAACGACTCCATCCTTGCCTTAGCTTCTCTTCACATTTCACATCATGTCAGGTATGCTTTGATTGACGAGTGATCTATGCTCCAGTAGCTCACAGCGTTCAGACCAGCTCGACGACAAGTTCATGAACTCCGGCGGCGGTGGTAGCGCACCACCTCCCAAAGCATCGGGCGACAAGGGCGATTCATCAAAGAAGGATGGGGACAAGAAAGACGGCGGCAAGGGCGAGGAGAAGAAGGGCTGAGAGGCATCGGGGATGAGGTGGCTGGTAGCGGGGTTGGAGTTCGTCGATCAGGGACGCCTCGGTTGACGCGTCGGAACGCGCGACGGGATGCGCAATCCTAAACACGTAGTCACGAACAATCGAACAGCTTGGTTCAGGACGGCTATTGAACGTTGATGTCAAGTGTGTCGCAGATGCAGGATGCATGACGCTCGGTGATGACTTCCGAGTCGTCATCTTGACGTTGACGCAACCCGACGTTCTCATGACGTCTACGCGCTGTTCAAAAGAACATCAGTACGCCCAAAGCTCCTGCTGAAAGCCCATGATACCATAACCCCACAGCATCAGCCCCAGCCAAATCACCATGCCGAGTACGTCTCCCGCACCTTCCACGTCATTCCTCTTCACTAACACCATACCCTCAAGACCAGGTCAACGACCCCTCAAAGACCAGCGAAGACACCTTCGGCGTGCAAAAATCTGCCAAAACACCCCAGAAGGCCGCACAGGATCAGGAAGACTACGAGGCGCAGAAAGAACATTCGAACAGTGGCAGCAACACGCACTCGGGGACAGGTATGGAGTACGTTGATCGGAAGAACATCAAAGGAGATGAGAAGCAGAGGAGAGAGGGGAACTGAGTGGCGTGTCATTACATGATTTAAATCGAATCCAAATTTGTGCCCACGTTTTGACTAGGCTCGCATCCAACTTGATGCCTTTCTCGCAGACTCTTCAAAACCAACCAAAGGGCTCCCATTGGGCAACAGCTGCCGGCATCGGGATGCCGATGAACCCAATCAACATGATCAAGAGCGAGAGGATCATCTTAATAGCGCCGAATATAAGAAGGAAGGCCAACTTGGCAGCGGCAAGGGAAAGGATAAGGAGAACGATCCCAAAGAGCAATATGGCAAGGCCCTGCAAGATTGTTCCCACCACCTGCAATAAAGCCTGAATGTCGAGTTGTGAAGTTAGCAAGTGCATTATACACACGGTGAACCGGATCATTACGTACCCAAGATCGGCGGTAGAGAAGTTGTCGCATCTCTACACAAGAAGTCGTGGTGGTGGACTTTCTTGTATGAGTTGCGCTGTTAGATTCGAGCCCCTTTTCCGCGGCGCTGATATCGGCCAGGCTATCTTTTTCGTCTTGGCTAACAGTATGAGACATCGTTGCGATATTGCTTTGGGGAGTTTTAGTGCAATGTGTTGGGATGGATGAGGTGCTGAACGCATTCGGCAGGGCACAGCAGGGCTTTTAAGGTGGGCAGTGATGTCCGGGTCGCGAGACACGCGACCGTGGAGCCCCAGGAGGAGGTACTTTGGTTCTGCCCATGATTAGCAACACTCGCGCAGAGCGAGTAGTGGGCCACCCGAAATCCCCATGATCAACAGAGACTCGCAATACTGACAAGACAATAGGCGTCTCGGCGGAATCTTGTTCACACGTGCTGTTGCTTTGAACGGCTCTAAAGATATTGCAGACCTAATGTCATGAATTGTGTGGGCCTACAAATACGTACCTGGTATACAGTATCAGTCCGACGATGGAAGAGAAGCACTTAGTCTGCAAGTGCCCTGACTCAACGTCACTTCTGAGAAAAAACATGAAAAAGCTCGATATGCTTAGGCCATCCAGTCCATATGTCGACACGGCATCTAGGATTGGAACAAACGACTGGCATCCATCTATATAGTTACAGTCTTGCCCACATGTCCACAATACAATTCTCAATTTGGTACGAGTCACTCCTGAATACCCACATTATTTTACCATTAGCCTCCCGGGGACAGAACGCTCAATCAAATCCCTTCCAACCACACTTGAAATGACGCTGCCATCCAGTGTACCCTTTATACATAGGTTGCCAATCTGCCGCGTTGAGATCCTGGCACCACATGTCTTTGGAAACCAGAGGAGCATTCTTCTTGTTATCCTTACAAGCTTGCTCGCAAGTCTGCAGCCTCCATGGGTCACTTTCGATGCGATTTTCGGTTGTCATGTAAGGCCTGCATGGGATGCCCGGCATGGAATCGCAGCCGGTGACCTTCTTGCGGATCTCAAAATTGACTTTGGCCATATCACCATTGTGTGCTAGGAAAGGTTAGCGCGTGTCTAATAAGGCGATAAAAGAGTTCACTTACGTTCATATACGGTCACGTCAACTCCAAAAGGCATTGAATCACCGTACGGACGATTAACGCTCTGGATGTAGTCGGTGATTTTCGAGTCCTTGTTGTAACCGCGTACATTGTGGAAACCCGCGTGGAAGCCATTGGGATCGTACAAGTCCCATCCTAATTCCGCGTAGTCGTCGTACAAGAATTGCTGAAATTCCACTGTCCAGTGGCCGTTCCTGTCCATAGGTGTATGGCTAGGAGCTGGTGCTGCCGAAGTGGTGGACGACGAAGAACTGGTGGACGACGAGGACCTGCTAGACGACGAGGAACTAATAGACGATACCTTGGAAGAGCTTTTTGAGGTTGATGAACCCATGCTAGAGTACGTCCACGTGTTTGATGGCTCATCGGGATTGTTGTTTCCCTCATCATCATCCAAAGAGAGCGGTGCTCGGGTACATGCTGGGGCGTCGGAAGTTAGCGTGCCGGTAGTAGTCAGCGTTGTCGTGGTGTCGTAGCCTTTAGCCGGCTCGCAGATGGTCCTCGTGGCATCGATCAGCGGCAGACATACAGATGTAACCATCGTGGATGATGTACCACCGCCGAAGAAGCTATAGCTAGAAGGCATGGACGAAACGTCAAAACCCTCCGTGCACATGACGAAGCGATCAGTGATGGTGGTCCGCATGTTGTCGTCGCAATCTTCTGGGTCTGGTTGGTCCGCCGGTTTAGTTGGCGCAGGGCCAGGCTTCGGCCCACAACCGCCCGGAACGGTACAACCTGGGAGGCTACAAAGTTCTGGCGGGCATGGATCACACCCTGTTGGACCTGGACAGTATCCGTCGGCGCCTATGATACCCGTAGGCCGCGGGCCGGTATGACAACCGAAGAAGATGCACGGGTCACAGCCGAAGATACCACATGGAATGGTGAGCGAAATGGGCGGAACGACATCTTCAGGGCAGCCAGGCCCGAACCCTAGTCCCGCCCACCCGCATCCACACCCGAAAAGCTTACATTTAGGGTTCGTAGGTTTTGGAAACGATGTCGGCTTTGGCTTTGGCGGCTTGACTGATGGATCGTCATTGTCGCTATCGCTAGGACTGTCGCTGTCATGATCCTTGTCACATTTGTGTGGGACACAAAGGCAGAAAGGCCGCTTGAAGAGCAAGAATGATGCGAGTCTCTGTGTGACGCATGCAGCGATACAGTTCTCCTCTTTGCACTCGGGGTCGCTGTCTGTAACAGAGTCTGGATCGCCTGGGTGACCATCCTTACCACCGTCGTCATCCGGGCCAAACCACCATAGATGACACCACTTGTAATTAGCTGGCTCAAGACATTCGTGCGGTGGTTCTTCATCGGGAGGGCGAGGGAACACATAGCCCACACAATACTTTAGGCACCACTCGAGGGAACGACACAATTCGGGACAGCCTACGCCTGTAGGCATCGGGCTGGGAGGTATAGTGCTGCTCCCAATCACGATCGGAGCAGAAATGGAGCCACTTGCGGTGCTGCTTCCCGAGACACCAGGAGGGACGATGATGGAGCCGCTTGGGGTGCTGCTTCCACTCGGAGGGATAATGGTGATGCCATTCGAGGTGCTGCTTCCCGAGACACCAGGAGGGACGATAATGGAGCCACTTGGGGTGCTGCTTCCCGAGACACCAGGAGGGATGATGATGGAGCCACTTGGGGTGCTGCTTCCCGAGACACCAGGAGGGACGATGATGGAGCCGCTTGGGGTGCTGCTTCCACTAGGAGGGATGATGGTGATGCCATTCGAGGTGCTGCTACCAGGAATTCCAGTGGGGATGACGATGGAACCACTCGAGGTAGTGCTTCCCGTGAAACCAGGAGGGATGATGATGATGCCATTCGAGGTGCTGATACCAGGAATTCCAGTGGGGATGACGATGGAGCCACCCGAGGTAGTGCTTGCCGTGAAACCAGGAGGGATGATGATGATGCCAGTAGAGGTGCTGCTACCAGAAATCCCAGTAGGGATGATGATGATGCCTTCTACAGTAGTGCTGCCTTGGACTGAAGTCAATCGAGTGCTCGGGATTGCGCTTCCAGACGATTGTGCAGCCGAACTGCCTTGAGCACTTGACTGAGCCACAGAAGATGAGCCAGAAGGCGCGACGAGTGATCCAGACGCGGACACAGAGGTACTAGGTGATGCCGATGACCATGCAGTCGAAGTGCTACCGGCTTGGCTGCTCGATATACTCGTGGGCGCTACAGATCCCGCGGAAGAACTCCACGCTCCAGAAGATGGGGCGGCTGATGATCCAACCACTGAGCTTGTCGGGGCGCGGGAAGATGGTGCAGTAGAGCTTCCTTGAATCGAGGATGCAGTGGGGGGCGGCACAACGACACTTGAGCCAGCTTGAGAGGATACTTGACTGCTCCAAGCTGCGGTGGACGACGGGACAGAAGACGGCACGGAGGATGCCCACTGAGAAGACGAGGATGCAGCTTGAGAAGACGAAGACGCAGCTTGAGAGGACTGTTGACTGCTCCAAGCTGCGGAAGAGGACGGGGCAGGAGGCGGCACCGAGGACGCCCATTGAGAAGACGAAGTTTGGCTGCTCCACACAGTAGAGGATGGCGGAACAGGTCCTTGCACTGATGATGGAGGCGCGGAGGCTTGCACCGAGGATGCCGACTGAGATGATGCAGCTTGAGACGAGGGCTGACTGCTCCATACCACTGAGGATGGAGTTGCGGAGCCCTGTACTGAAGACACGATCGATGGGGGTGGGACAGCGACTGCAGAGGACGGGCTCGCAGAGCCTTGCACCGAAGACACAATGGACGGTGGCGGGACAGCGACTACAGAGGACGGGCTCGCAGAGCCTTGCACCGAAGACACAATGGACGGTGGCGGGACAGCGACTACAGAGGATGCGGAAGGTCGAGGTGAGCCTTGTATCGAAGACACAATTGTAGGCGGTGGTATAGCGACCACGGAAGACGGAGGCGGGCGGGGAGAGCCTTGCACCGAAGACACGATGGATGGAGGCGGGACAGCAACCACGCTGGAGGCGACCGGGGGATAGTGGACGCTGGTCGGTGGAACGACGGTACCTTGTACAGATGTCGTGACCGAGATCGGGTCGGTAGGAATTCCGTATTGTCGGGGAATTAAGATGGACGAGGGATCCGCCGCACCCTGGATTCCAGCCTGTCCGCTGCCGACCGTAGAAGCGGCCGTAGAGGATGGAGAGCTGCCGGCGTAGCCACCGGTAGCGGCCAGCCCTAGAAGAGTGAAGACGGAAAAGCGCATCGTCGGAAGCTGCAGTCGTCGTCCGCAATTGCTTCGATTTTGAAGAAGGCGAAAGAGGGTTGAGGAAGCGAGTGGAAGGCGCGGTAGAGGGGAAGCTGTACGAGGCCGGTGAGCGCGAGCTGATATACAACGGAAGAGCTAAGCACAAGCGCTAGTCGGGTGGTGAGGGTCTCGAGATTAGGGTCCGTGAGGAAGGCGCGACAGGGTGAGGGGCAAGTCCGC